CACACTAACAGGGGAGCTGGTGCCCAGAGAAGGATGTGATCTGAGAGCTCTTTTTTGACTTTTCGTGAATTACAGTTTCTGAGATGAAAGAAATCTAAAACAAAGACAGTCCATTTAAATTGGGCTAGCTCTTACTGTTAGCATCTAACATCATCATCTCAACTGTGTAGCCTTGTGGAGAGAGAAGTGGGATGTTGTTATTCTTATCTTCCAGATCAGAGAAGCTGGGATTGTTCCTCAGCAAATGTTTGCTGAATGAATCAGTGAGTGAGTTTCAGGCTAGTCTTCACTTCAGCTTCATATTTTCAGATTCAGGGAGAGAAGGATGAGTGGCTTACACACACACACACACACACACACACGCACGCGCACACGCACGCGCACATGCACATGCACGCGCACACGCCATAATGAAGCCTCCTTCAGAACCAGAGCTCTGCCATTTCCAGTCAGTCTCCCCTTGACAGCTCCTGACCACACTGCTACATCTCTCCTCTGAACTCCCGTAGCAGTGCTTGATGCTTTGCATGGCTGCCCAATTCATGCATTTATGTCTCATCACCCCAAATTCTGGAAGAGAAGTTAGGGCCACGGCTTCCCATTATTTTGTGCCTTTCACAGCATCAAGTACAGGCACTTGGTTGAGCAAACTGTCGAACCAAATGTGTCGCCACCAGGTGGCACCAGAGTTCCTGCTGTTGCTCTGAGAATCTTGAGTAACTTTCAGCCATTTATTGCCAAGCTAGCCATTAAAAATGCCTTCCTTAATGAGGAAGCTTCAATTTATTTATTAAGTAGAATGCCAATAAATACTACAGTAGACACAAGTAAATTAACCAGGCAAAATTGTAACTTACCATTTTCCCCCATAGTAGACTATTGTGTTCACACAGCCCCTCTGCCTGCTGCTTGTCAGGCACTGAGCTCTCACCCCAGCAGCTGCTTTCCAGGCCTTGAAGAGAATCTGACTTTCAAGCCTCCCTGGCACAGAGCGTCTCGATACCTGAAAATGGCTTCAAATCCTTGGTTTGGGTTTTTGGATCATTTATTTTTCCTGGAAAGGACAAATTAAACATTATAAAGAAATTGCTATAACCCCACCACCTTTAATATGTTGATTATTTTGGTTATCTCATTGCAATCTTTGCTCCCTTATATATGTGGCTTTATTCATTTTTGATCATGTGAAGCCATAATAAGAGCTCTCATTTACTTAATGCTTACTATGCAACTATGCTTGTTGTTTTATATACATTGCTGCTATTGAAATATAAGAGCTATTATATTGAATCCTTAAATTATATTTATTATATTACTTATATTGAATGCTTGCCTTGTTGGGTACTGTTCTAAAAGTTTTCCATGCATTAACTCCCATGACCTATATAGCCTGATGAGAGTAGGTACTGTTTACCTCATTTACAGTTCAGAAAACAGGCTGTCAGAGTTAAGTGACTTGCCTAAGGTAACACAGTAAATAGCCGTATTGGGATTCATATCTAGAACTCTTTAATTCTAAAATTACTGTTCTTTTCACTATATTATCGCATTCTGCTTTGTTCATTTGCTCTTTAATGATGTCTGTTTGTACTTCTTTAGAAAGGGTGTAAGGATTCATAGAATCATTAAAATATGGGTTTGATCTATGTTATTCTCCTGCTACTAGACTGTTAGCTCCTTGAAGACAGGGACGAACTAGAGGTCATGTTTATTTATTTCTGCATTCCTCTTCTCATGAAGTGCAAAGTAAGTACTTGGATGAATGAGTGAAGGCTGCCTTCACTCTCCCAGGGAGTCTGAGATACAGGGCTGCTTAACAGAACCTTAGCGTGCTAGAGCTTGAAGGAGTTTGAAAATCAAGTCAAACCCTTCCTTTAAGGAGGAAGGCCCTCCTTAGGGTTACCTACTGAGTTGGAGGCAGAACAGAACTAGAATCCAGGTTTGCTGGGCTTCTACTGGGCCATCTGGTTTCAAAGAGCCTAATCCTGTCCCTAAATCTCCTTCCTTTCTTCCCTTTCCTACCCACCCCCCTCCTCTCTTATCTTTCATGATGTGTAAGTTGAGTAGCTTTACACCCTTAAAGTTTCAAGCCTGAATGTTACAAAATGAGGCAAGATTTTCCATTCATTTTACACCGATGCCCAGACTTACTCCTAATTATGTCTTTGTTCAACCCAGAATAGAATCCAGGTCCTCTGCCTCTCACCACACCCAAAATATGCAGAGCTGCAGCTCACATAGGGAAAATTATCTTGACTGGATTCCCCCCCCAGAACATGCTATTGGTGATTGATGGGGAGTGGGAAAGAGGCTATTAGGGCAGGCTGGTGGTTTTTATGTAACAGCCAACTTTTTGGAAAACCTCAAAGGAGATAGGAATTCCTGTTCTTTCTCAGAGCGGACACATGTGACCAGGCCATGTGATTTAATTCTTCTCTAGTTTCTGGGCCTACTGTTTTGTAAACACCCCCATGAGCCTGTTAAAGCAAACAATGTGAAGGCTAAAGACCCTGCCTGTAGCCCTTCTTTCCATACCCACCTTCATCTACCCCCCTTTTAGTGTCACGATTCTGGTTGCCTTATCCCCTAGTTTAAATAATCTGTGATGTCTTTTCCTGGTCTCCAAGTATCTCCTAGAATGTCACCTGGAACATTATTTGGGTAGCCGTTAGTACATCCTGGTGCTTTTCACACTTTTTTTTGTAAGGCCAGAATATTTTAGAACACTTCATTCAGAGTCAACTGCAGGTTGCTGTACAGTGGAATTGGTACTGAAACTACATTGTTCGCTGACCAGTGGGCACACAGCACTGGAAGCTCTAAAGCAAAGTGGCTGCTCACCATTTTCTTCCACTGTCTCTCTCTTTTTTTTTAATATGTAAAATAACACTAAAAAACTAACGCTTTTTCTTGCCACAGAGCAGTCTATGAGAGAGTAGTAGCTACAGACAGCTTAACACTAAAAAGATGCTTTAAGCTGCACTATCCAGTGTTGTAACCACCAGTCCCATGTGACAGCTGAACACTGGAAATGTGACTGGTCTCTTTTGAGATATACTGTAAATATAAAATAAACATCGGATTTTAAAGCCATAGTACAAAAAAAAAAGTAAAATATTTCATAGATAGTTTTATATTTGACTACATCTTGAAACAGTAATATTTTAGCTATATTGGGTTAAATAAAATATATTATTAAAATTAAGATCATCTGTTTCTTTTTACTTTTTTTTTTTTAACATAGCTACTAGAAAACTTATTTATTTTTTTATAGTGGCTTTACCAGTTTATATTCCCACCAACAGTGTAGTAGGGTTCCCTTTTCTCCACACCCTCTCCATCAATTTATTTCTTTTTTAACTTTATTTATTTATTTTTATACAGCAGGTTCTTACTAGTTATCTATTTTATACATATTAGTGTATATATGTCAATCTCCCAATTCATCCCACCACGACTCCCCGCCTCCTCCCTGCTTTCCCCCCTAGAAAACTTAAACTTACATATGAGACTCACATTATATTTGGACTGGGCAGACTAGTCTAGAAATCCCCAAGAGTAAATAGTTTCTCAAAAGTTTTCTCTTCTGGGGGCTTCCCTGGTGGCGCAGTGGTTGAGAGTCCGCCTGCCGATGCAGGGGACATGGGATCGTGCCCCGGTCCGGGAAGATCCCACATGCCGTGGAGCGGCTGGGCCCCATGAGCCATGGCCGCTGAGCCTGCGCGTCCGGAGCCTGTGCTCCGCGACGGGAGAGGCCACAACAGTGAGAGGCCCACGTACCAAAAAAAAAAAAAAAAAAGTTTTCTCTTCTGTGGAACTTTAGGAAACTAGCTAATATTTTCCTCTCTATAGCCACCCCCCCCCTTTTTTTAAAAAAAAATTATTTCATTTCATTTAATGCTACCAAGAAGAAAGCCTCTATTAAGTGCTAATTATCTGTTTTTACACCTGCTATTCACCTGAGAAGAGTGACATCTAGTAAAAATTGGGTGGTTGCGGGAGGGAGTTAGGAGACATTGGAGAGCAGAAGACTCGTGATTGGTCCAAACTTCTGACTTAGAATTGTTTTATACATTTGGAACTCTGTAGCTAACAAGTCTGAGGTAAAGATATGAAGGAGGGAAAGTAAAATAGATGCTCTTTAAAACAAATGTGCTTCCCTCTTAGGGTTCTAGTCTTGCTTTCCCCTCATTTATCTAAATTCACTGAGGATCTGTCATGGGCCAGACAGTTTCCTAGCACAGAGGAATCAGATGAGTGTGGCCTTGTCACTGCTCTCAAGGAGGTTACAGTAAGCTAGAGAACGAATTTGAATCCAGTCTCATACTCTAGGTAAGCACTGCAATGATGGTAGAAAAGAAAATGCGTTTGGAGCAATAGGAAGTCATGATTTATTCTGCCTAGAAGGGAGACTGAAGCCTTTGTTTGTCTTGGATGTGATACCCTCAGGCCAAAAGACAGATGGGAAGGATATTTTGCCCTGAGGGGAACAACCTGACTACAGGCATGGGGAATGGTAGGAGGTGGTCCTTGAAATAGTAGTTTGGGGCTCCATTGTGGGGGATTTGACTGCCTGTCTAAGGATGTTGAGTCTAAGGATGTTGAATCTTATCCTGTAGACTGGGGACCCTTAGAGGGTTCTAAGCAGGGGGATGACATACTTTAAGACTGTGTGCTCCTGGGAAGGATAGATTGGAGGGGGAGACACTGAATGCAAGGAGACTTAACAAAGAGGTCATAGTCAGCCAGGTAAGGGGTAGCAAGGGCTCACATGTAAAGGAAAGAATATGTACAATAAACAGTCGGGTGGGGGGGTAAAAGGTTGGTGTCAAGCACGGTCCCAGATTTCTAACTTGGGTCACTAGGATGTGCCTTTATCCAAAATTGGAAATGTAGGAGAGGATCAGGCTAAAATGGAACACACAAGATGCGCTCTGGATTTGCAGATAGAGCTGCAGAGGGAGCTGGCTAGAGCTGAAGTGCTTGTGTTTGTGTTTCAGATGGTGACCCTCTTTCAGATGTGGGTTGTTCCCCTCTATTTCACAGTGAAGCTGCACTGGTGGAGGTTCCTAGTGATCTGGATCTTGTTCTCTGCCGTCACAGCCTTTGTCACCTTCCGAGCCACCCGAAAACCACTAGTACAGACAACCCCAAGGTGAGAATTTAGGAGTGGGTAGTGGGAAGGAGCTAGGCTTCCTGAACTAACGGGTTGGGATGCACGGGAGACAAGTGGGTTAGACTGAAAAAATTGCAGTTTTTGTCTGCCAAGATTACTTGGCACAAAGCCCCACCAAAACGAGCTGATTGGGAGACCTCCTGCCCCATTCACAGAATAAAAACCTCCAAGTCTTTCCCTATAGCTTACCTTACAGTTTACATCAAGGTCTGTTTATATTAAAAGCTAACAAAATAAGTAAGCAAATCCTGGTCATTGTGGTTTCATTATAACTGTCATTTTCTTCTGTAACCTCTGATCTCTAAATTAGATTTTCTGTCACATTCTCTCCTAGTGCCCTGTAGTTTTCCTTCATAAAACTTATTGTAGTTTATAACTAAATATTATTTTGAGTGTCTGTCTCCCCCACTAAACTAACTATGAGATCAGGAACCACATCCATTTTGTTTGTCACTGTATATCCAGGCCCTACCACGGGGTCTGGCACATAGTAGCCTATTGTCTGAATTTTTGTTGAATGAATGAATCTCAGCAAATTTACAATTTTCCAGCAAACAATACTTCCTTCTTTGGTCACAAAGCAGCCCCTGCCTGTATACATCTTTTTTCTTTTTTAATTAATTAATTTATTAATTAATTTATTTATTTTTGGCTACATTGTGTCTTAGCTGCCACGCGCGGGCTTTCTCTAGTTGCGGCGAGTGGGGGCTACTCTTTGTTGCGGTGCACGGGCTTCTCATTGCGGTGGCTTCTCTTGTTGCGGAGCATGGGCTCTAGGCACGCAGGCTTCAGTAGTTGTGGTGCATGGGCTCTAGAGCGCACACTCAGTAGTTGTGGCGGGCGGGCTTAGTTGCTCAGCGGCATGTGGGATCTTCCCGGACCAGGGCTGAAACGCATGTCCCCTGCATTGGCAGGCAGATGCTTAACCACTGCGCCACCAGGGAAGTCCCCTGTATAATTCTTTGTATTTCCAAATGCATTTCTCATTTGATCCTCCCAACCAGCTTGTGAGGTCATTTAATATCTATACTTGACAGAAAAAAAAAGAGATTTTCTCATTTATTCATTCATTCATTCAACAAGCACCTGCTATGTGTCAGGCCCTGTGCTGAGCACTGGGGATACAGAGCTGGAAAAGACATGGTCCCTGTCCTCAAGGAGTACTTGGTTTAATGGAGGAAATGGACAAGAAAGCAGCTGTTTTAGTGCAGTTGGTAAGTACTGTGAGACACGTGTGTACAGGTTCAGGAGAGCCTAAGAGAAGAACCAGCTAGCCTCAAGAGTTGTGACTATCTGATCCAAAGTTTTCCAAGTTGCAACTTGCTCTTTTTCCCATGCCTCTTATGTTCCACTTTACTACAAGCCTTTCTTTGGCTTTCTGAGTTTCATTCTACAAAGTAAAATTTATCTGCAAGGTGAGGTCAGTGATCTAGAAGCCCCTCTCTGGCTGTGGTAGTTTACATTAAAAGCCAGTATAGAATATTACAGACTCTGGAGCCAGATGGATATGGATTGGAAACCCTAGCCCTGCCAGTTGTTAATTATATGACCCCTATGACTGCACGTTTCTCAGCCTTGAATTCTTTATCCCTAAAAATGTGATAATAATTGCTACCTCTGATAATAATTGCTACCTCATATAGGGTAATATGAAGAAAAAGTATAATAAAGCATGTTAAGAGTCATCGAGTAACATTTTCAACATCTAGCTAAAATGACTGAAAATGTGTCTATAACATGGGAGGTTTTTGATAACAGTAACAACTAGCATTCGATAGTGCTTTACAATTTCAAAGTACTTTCATAAACACCCACATTTATTCATGCAGCATTTATTGGGTATGTATTATTTACACCAGGAAATTATATACACTATGTACAATCCAGTGAGAAAGGTGGCAGGGGGTTCCTGTTTTAGAAATAAGTAAACTTGTCTCAGGTTGATATGACTTATCTGGGGTTACCCAGCTACTAAACCTCACTTAATCCAGGTTCCACCTAAAATGCCACATCCTTTCCACTGTGTCTCAGTCCCATCTGATCAGTACAAACCCTGGATAATGGAGCTCTCTGTGGTCTTTGAGGGCAGACACTGCAAGGTGTTCGGGTCCCTCCGCCAGCCTGAGAAGCCATCGCCCCTTGTTTAGCCACAGCAGGGAGGCCCAGGCAGGGACCTTGAGCATTCTCCCTGAGGCCCAGCAGGGTTGGCAGTAACCTACTCAGCTCTCAGGAGCCAGGCAGATTGCTAAATTACTCCTTAGCTCTCCTCACAGGTAGAACAGTGGCTCCTGATATCAGGGACCTACCTCCATAACATTTAAAAGGCTCTGGTACATTCTGGGAACCATCTTTCCTCTCTGATCCTAGTTGCAGTCAATCAACCAGATTCCACACTGCTTTTCATTGGATCCTAGGGAGCATGGCTCCTCCTTCAGGAGAATCGCACAGTCCCATTCTACTGCACCCCGCCCCCATCACGCACACACATCCAATTCAAGGGTATTCGTTGAGTGCCTCCTTCCTTATCCCCTCTCCTTCAGGAAAAAAAATAAATTCAGAAGCAAACTCATTAGATATATTTCATTTTGTTATTAGCCTGTGGGTAGGAGTGAAGCAGTATTTACATTAACCATGCCCAGTTACAAAAGCCTGTAGCTAATTCTACCTTTTATTCATCTTCCCTTGAATCCTCTTTCCTGATAAGAATGCCTGTTTCCTTCTGAGCACAGCTGTAGTTACTAATTTTCACTTCCTCATCCAACTAACCTGAATTTGAGATGACATACTTATCTGAGGTCAGCTGTGTACTTTCTTTGTTTGAGGTTAAACTTCTCTTTTCTTCCCTTGGTCTGAGACCAGGAAAATACAAAGCACTAGCTCCCTGGTATGTGGAGGTGTTTCTGCAATTGAGGGAGTGACCAGCCTTGCTCAATAAAAGTCCTAAGCAAAGAGCCTGATGTCCCCATTGATGTGAGAGTAAGGGATTCTGGTGGTCCAGAGGCTCTTAGGCCAGTCTTTCTGTGTCAGCTTTACTAATTTTTTCTCCTTTCTCCAGGTTGGTTTATAAGTGGTTCCTGCTGATCTATAAAATCAGCTATGCCACTGGCATCATTGGCTACATGGCTGTCATGTTTACCCTCTTTGGTCTTAACTTGTTATTCAAGTGAGTACCTTTGCTTTTGTTTTTGCTAGTGTCTGGGGAGGAGGGACTGGTGAGATGTACCTTTGTTCCTGGGACAGGTCCTGAGTATGAACAAGGGGAACATGGCACCTAGGATAGGAGACTTGGCTTTAGAGGATGGGAGGATGGGTGGGCCTTCCATGATTTGTGCTGGCAAAGAGAAAGGAATGTCTGAATAATACAGAGTTAGAGTCTCAAATCATTGGTTGTACTTTCCAAGAATTTATATTTTAGTGGGAAAGTATAATAACAAAAGTAAGCATAATAATGATTATAGCCAGTTACTCATAACTCCATCACCCCAACAGAACCATTTTCCTTTTCCATGTGTGTATTGTTTACTGTAACATCCACTCTACCTGAGTGGTCTTATGTTCAAGGAGAGTAGGAGTTGGCAAACTACATCCTGTGGGCCAAGTTGGCCTACCTTCTGTTTTTATAAAATAAAAATATTTTACTGGAACACTCATATTCATTTGTTTACACATTGTCTATGGCTGTTTTTGCAGTAAAACAGCAGAGTTGGATAATCGTGGCAGAGACTATATAGGCCACAAAACCTAAAATACTTACAATCTGGACCTTTACAGAAAAAGTTTGCCGACCCTGGACTAGACAGTTGAACTCATGGGACACAGCTGGCCACACCTGGCAACAGATCCACCTAGAAAGATACAAGACAGGAAATAGCAGGGCAGCGTCTGCAGGAGTCCTCACAATAGTCCCAGGGCTGAGATATGAGAGAGTGAGACCACACAGATGAGTGTGGCAGCCAGCCAGGCCCAGAAGACCTACTTCTCCAAGGAACACATCAGGTTTAAAACTCTCCCGGTCCAGATGCAGTGTTCTAATCGCAGGTCAGGTTTAATATATAAGCATTGCTACTTTGTGACACAGCTGACATTCCACCTTTAAGAGATTTCTCAGGAAACAGAGTTAACCTGTGGACTTTTAAGTCCTGCTCCATTGTTGGTCACGTAGGTTGTTTTTTCAGTGCAGCGCTGTCACAGATAACATTGCAGAGTTGCTTCCTAAGGGTACATGACCAGGAGTGGAATTCTGGCTGTTGCTTCATATTGTCATAAGCTTTCCAAAAGGTCTGTATCAGCATACAGGTTTCCTCTACCCCCAGTTAAGGCAGAAGCCAAGTAATCCTGGACTCTGGGACTGGAGGGTACAGTGAGTAAGCAGGGCAGAAAAGGGTAGGAATGTGGTTTCTACAGCTGTAGGCTGTGGATTGGGACAATGCATTGAAGCTAGAGATTTAGGATTCAAATTTCAATTCATGACCACTGGCCTCTTCCCCAAACCAGGTATACTGTAGGCAGGAATCTCTGAAACTGAAAGGAATAAGTCCTACTTTATATAATGAGAGGACACCCATGGAATTCTTTCTTCCAGGGGTAGTACAGGCTGAAACAATAAACAGGCTCCACAAATATTTACAGGAATTTATCAGTGTAGAGTCAACACATCTCATCAAAGAAAACCAAGGTACTTCCAGATATCTTCCTAACCTGGGTGGTTAAAAAAAGTAAAAACCAAGATTCTCTATTATGTTTTAAAGGTATTTATTCTAGAATTACAGTTTCTTTTTTACTTTGATAAACTGTATAAGGAGGAAAACATAATTGAGAATCTTGACCATTTTTATGCTACTAATCAGGTTAATTGGTGTAAGATCATGACGTCTAGTTAGTACGTTAAATGTTGTAAGATTGGTGGGCAAATTCAACTTTCTAAGCTAAATGTAATTTACAACTTTAAGTGAACACGTACAGTTCTTGGTACAAATGTTTTAACAAAGGTAGTTTTCTATAATAAACATTTAAAGACTCAAGTTTACAAACTGTTGGTCCCTGGAATTACTAAAACAAACTTTCTAATATTATAGGCCTATTGTCCTTAGTAAGGAGACTTGGACCAAAATTTAACTTTGATGACATGATACAGAATATGTATAGATGCAAGTTAAAATTTTATGGTAACTGGTATGTGTATATTTACTAACTTTATCTTTGTTTTCTAAAGATGTGGTTGGCAAACTTCTTTATAAAGGGCCAAATAATAAATATTTTAGGCTTTGTGGGACAAAAGGCAAACTCTAGGATGGTATATAGGTACTTATATAACGAGAGAAAACTCCTCCCTTGCTCCACCCTGTTTGCCTGGGTGGCCTGTCTCAGATGGTGGACATACTTTGTGCCCACTTGCTATCATATGAAACATTCTTAGAAGGAGGGGCCTGATGGAGGTGGGTGACCCCTGGGATGATTTTCACTCTCTGCTCCAGTGACACCCAGATCCTGCTGTGCCCTTCCCTCCTTTTGGAGGGCTCAGCTATTTCAACTTGGGCAACTGGCTGGAGGTGAGGCAATTCAATAGTGAGTTGCTAACTTCCGGACTGAAAATTCCACTGCCTAGTGTGTAGCAGTTGCCAGTAGTGGAGTCCCCAACATATAGGTGCCAACTAGGGAGCTGCAAGCATGGTCATCAGTCAGAGGAGGCAGGCACTGGAAACAGAGTGGGGAAGTGAGCAGAAAGGGATACCCTGGCTTGGTCTTCACAGCTCCTAGTCCTAGGCTGTTCAGGTGGTGCCCACAGGTCATATACAGACAGGCAACAGGCTGGATTTGGTTTTAGTTTGCCAACACTTGCTCCAGCTATTAAAGCTTCCAGCTTTAGACGCTGCCATTTGTGTCCCAGAGTAGTAATCCAAAGCAGTTGCATCTCAGGGCAGGCCTTACAGGCCATGCTGCTTCCCTTACAGGATCAAACCAGAAGATGCCATGGACTTTGGCATTTCTCTCCTCTTCTATGGCCTCTACTATGGTGTTCTTGAGCGGGACTTTGCAGAAATGTGTGCAGACTACATGGCATCTACCATAGGGGTGAGTTCACTTGGGCTCTTTAATACTGCCTCCTGCCACCTCCAAAGAGTTCAGGATAGCATCACTTGTTTGATGGAAGAGATAAGCCATACAAAATCCTTCAGGATGTGAGTGGTATGTATGGAGGTTCCTTCCTTAAAATTTGGAAAACCGATCTCAGATGTACCCTGGAATTTTTAACTCTAAGCTATTATAAGAATCACTTTACCCCACAGGAAGTTAACAGTCACTCAACAGATACTTATTTAATGCCTCTGTCTAGTGACAGAGATGGGTATTAAAGTAATAAAAACACAAATTATATATGATACTTTATGATATATTATTAAAATTATAACTTTAATAAATATTATGAAGGGGAGGTTCATGATATTATGAACAAATATAGTCATGTCATTTGACCTAGTCTTGGGGCTCAAAGATGGCTTCCCTGAAGATGTAACTATTGAGCTGATCTGAACAATGAGTAGAGTTAACCAGATGAAGTGAAAAATGAAATGTATACCAGGTAGAGGAAATAGCATGTGTAAGAGGCCTGTAGTGGGAGAAAGGGTGAGCATTTTAAGGAACTAGGCTCATGTGGTTGTAGGGCTGAATTATAGTGGAAGTGTATGGAGGAATAATCAAAGGCTAGGCTAGAAAAAGCCGTAGAGGCCAAATGAAAGATTGTGATTTTTATACTAAAAATACTAGGGGGCTAAGATAGAAAATGACATCATCAGATTTGCACTTTGAAAAGATCATTCTGGCTGCTTGGGTAGAGAACAGATTGGAGAGGGGTCCACAGACCAGAGTGACCCACTTAGTCTTTAAGAGACAATTGCAGTAGTCTGGGCAAGATGAAGGTAGCTTGGATTAGGGTAGAGATGGTGAAAAGTGAGAGAAACGGACTATTGGAGAGATATTCTGGAGGTAAGGTTGACAGGACTTGGATATAGATTGGTTCTGGAGACTGAAGGAAAAAACATGAAGGAAAGAAAGGTAGGTATCAAAGCTGACATTTCTAGCTCAAGCAACTCCTTGGATCCTTCACTGAGATAGGAAATGCTGCAAGAGGACCAAGTGGAGACCATGCAGAGATTCTTCAAGCTTAAAATATAGGTAAAGTAACAGCCAGTGTAAGAAACCCAACTCAATATCCTTATATCTTTTTTTTCAAAATGTCTGTTGTTTTGCTGTTTGTAAAAGTAATACATTCTTTTTTGTAATTGTGTGAACAACACAGAAGTGCTTCCCATCTGAGTATCATCCTATTAGACCCAGCCATAAGAAGGAATATTTCCAAGTTTAATAGACATTTCTCCAGTTCTGTGCTGAAATAAGTGTGGTTCTGTCTGATGAGTGGGGACTGAAAGGCATTCAGAAGTTCTTGCTACTTCTGAGGTAGCAAGAGGTTTGGCAGGTTGGAGAGAAACCCTAGGAGAATGTCAGGGAAGCAGGTTCTCTTGGAGCATCCAGATACCAGTCCTAGCTTTTAGGCAGCAGATATCAGTGGAGACCAGTTGAGAAGTACATGAAAGCTTGGCACTGACTTCATATGAGGCACCTCAGGAGCTCTTGCTGAGTCTGAGGCAGTTTTGCAGGTGGGGGCCTATTGGCTGTGCAAATTTGTATGTCACTGCTACTGTGATCTCATTCATGCCACGGGCTGGTAGGCTTAGGGCAATTCACGTTAAGCAGGAGACTCAGCTATTATTCTTGGGTAACATTAATCAAGTACAGTTTTAGGTCTAGGACTTTGTTTCTCAGTATCCTGGGACTATTTTTATTTTTCCTGTAATGGATCAAATTGAAAACAGTGTATTGGGTCACTTTATAGACAGCCTGTTAGATTCTTTTCTGAACAGCTGTCTTATGTTTTAGCAACATTTCACTGTCTCATCTATTTGTGTAGACTTCAGCTCTTCCTTTAACCAGTTCACTCCCCGAAGAGATTTCCAGACCCTAGATTGTCTAATTAGTAACTTTGCTTTCAACAGCAGAGATTGTCTAATTACTAACTTCACTTTCAACAACAGCTGTTCACTGAGACTGCTTCTGTGGCACAGCCAGCTTTTCAGAGAATCCCTCTAGTGATTTTTCTTCTCATTCTGTTTTTACAGGACCAATTCTCTGATTTTCCCAGGTTGTTACCAACTTTATCTCAAGGTTATTATCAGCTGCCAGTTTAAGCATAGCCTTTATTCCCTCAGGTGGGGGTCCCTAATAACCAATCTACAGAATCCCTTTTCTGAGCTCAGAATTGATCCACAAGTTAGCTTCTGCTCTGGGAGATAGAATTATTAAATTGGCCTCCCTAAGATGCAGTTTGAGCTGGGCCACTTTCCGTGCTCTTGGGAAGAATTATTGGGTGCTGCAGTGATTTTAAGTGATAATCCCTCATAAGATAATTCCCTAATAATGATAAATTCCAGCTTCACCAAGAGACCTGGTGGGAGAATTTCTCGTTAGGGTGGAGAGTGCCTCAAACACTAGCTCCTGACCCCTCATACTCTCCTTCCTTTTATGGGATCTCACTAGATACCCCCACCACTCCACAATAACAGTCTGTCCCAAGGATAAACCCACATACCTCCCTGTACCTCTTAGCACAGAATCAAACAGTCACGTCGGACTTTATTAAAGGTTGAGGATGAATAACAGGAAAATAAACTGTGAGTATTTGAATGAGGTTGATCTGAGTTATCAGGCTGCCTGCTTTCCAGGGTTTTCAGACCCTGCCTCATCTAACTCTCAGCCTACCTCTGTATACTGGGTGTCATCTTAACACCCACCACTTAGAATCCACATCTGGACAATACAGTCCTCCAGATGCCTAGACCTAAAGCCTGTGTTCCTGACAAAAATGATGCTGCTCCTCCCCTATACCACAGGGTATCTTACATGAGGATCTACCTCTTCCCTAGGTAATTGACATTGAGAATGGCTTTCCTTTTCAGAGGAGCCACTCTATCCAAATGTCTCTTTCAGAGGAGTCATTCTGAAAACTATCCAACAGAATGTGACCTTGCTGATCCTGACTATAGACAAGCAGTTTGCTGTTTCCCCAGGTTCCTTTCTTGGGGGTTCATAGGAAGACTAGGATAGCTTGTGATAGTACTGGGTGAGTCACCAGGAGTTAACGCATTTGTTGTTTTCCAATACTCTTAGCAAATATTGCTGAGACTTAGTGACAGGCCTTCTGCTAGGGCTCAGGATGCCAAGAGATTAGACCAGGCAGGAATATGGGAGAAGAGACTCCAACATGGGATAAAGGGATAGATTGCACCACCTTGGAGTGCTTTCCAACCCTGAGAAATCCAAGACTCTGTTATTTCTGCCCATGTCTTTGGTCAAGTGGGCCTTGGTCTGCTCAGGAACACCTGGGCCCCTGAGCCACAACAACCTGAATTTAAAGAATATTGCTGGCCTTGAAGCCAAAATCTGATCAGTGCTTTGGGGAGGGCAGTTTGAGGAAGCCAGGAGACTCCAGCTTTCCACGCATTCATTGGCCAACTCATTATTTATTCAAGCAACAGTTATTTATCAACCATCTACAATGTACAGAGTGTGACTGAGTGTAGCCCTTACTAGCACCACTGCCCACTTTCAGTAGCAGCCCTAGTTGTTTTTTTTTTTTTAATTGTGGTAAAATACACATAACATACCATCTTAACCATTTTAAAGTGTACAGTTCAGTAGCATTAATACATTTACATTGTTCTTCAACTGTCACCATGATCCATCCATAGAACTCTTCATTTTGCAAAACTGAAGCTTCATACCCATTAAACAATAATTCCCCAATCCCCACTCTCCCTAGCCCCTGGCAACAATCATTCTACTTTCTGTCTTTATGAATTTGACCACTCTAGGTGCCTCATATAAGTGGACTCATATACAGTATTTGTCTTTTGTGACTGGCTTATTTCGCTTAGCATAATGTCTTCAGGGTTTACCTATGTGTCATGTGTCAGAATTTCCTTCCTTTTTAAGGCTAAGTAATATTCCATTGTGTGTATATACCACATTTTCAGTCCTGGTTATTTTTCGTAGTCTTTTGTATGTTCTGTGATCACAGCTTCTATCCCAGAGAGTCAAAGTTGATTTTGGAGCTGTTACCAGGTCAGGAACTAGGTCTGATTCATCTCTTGGTCTACCTCTGGGAGTAGTTTGACCTAAAAAGATCCGTAATTAATTAATTTCACAATTCCTAGAAATAAGACCATGATGTTTTATAATTGTATTAACAAGCATTCTCAATTCCTTTTACACCATTCTGCACTACTCTTTTTAGAGTAGAATAGCTCTTTGTTTTGCCTCACTTGGAGAAATTTGTAACTGTTTTGAGTCAGGTCGATTCAAGGGAATCATGGATGGTGTCTGTGTTCTCCAGCTGGTTACTGTGAGGTCATAAGCTTGTGACAGCCAGACAGTCTAGTTTCCATTCACACCCAAAAATCATGTTGGGGTGAGGTGGGGGAGTGGGGGAGTGGGGGATTGTGAAATAAGCTTATTTCTGGGGCTTCCTCCTCTGCGAGAGTGATTGGGCAGGCAGGGTAGTAACACATTGTTTGTGCTGCATTGGGCCAGGTGTCCTGCCTCACATTTTCTATCTCCTGAGCAAATTGCTGTGCCCCAGATTTACTGCTTCCTGGATCCTCAGCAGCCCCAGATAATGTGAGGACAGGACTATCTGCTCATTCATCTGACTTGAAGTAGTAGAAAGAGCCAGGAGGTTAGAATCAGACAGATCTGATTTCAAATTCTCCTCCACTTTTAATTATCTGTATACGCTTGAGCAAGTTGCTTTACCTCTCTGATCTTGTTTTCTTAGCTGTAATAATATTGCCAGCCTTATAGAATTGTGGTAAGGAACAAATGGGTTAATGTCAAGCACTTTGCAGAGTAGCCTGGCCCATGGCAAACACTCACATCATGATGATGATGATGATGATGACAGCGATGATGATAGCTACCATTTATTAAGTACCTACTATACAGTCCTGCTGTGCTGTACG